TGTGATTAATTTATCCACATACACCATGTTGTAACTTTTCAACCAGTAACTAAAAATTTCTGGAAATTTATCAAGTATATACCAGATATATGTGTGATGAAGCAATACAAAAATATTTATCAAATTTGCAACAGTTTTTGAGAAATCCAAGAAACATCAAAGAAAGTTCTGTAGGTTCCCTAAAATTCTGACTAATTTTTGGCTAATTTTGGACAATTTTTACCTAGCAAAAACTTTATTTTTATCCAAAAATAAGTTACTGAATTTCCCTAAAAACAAACCAGTTACAAGTTATTAATTTGATAACCTTTGAGCTCATAAAAAGTGCTTTTTTAAGAAATACCCAAAACAGTTCTGTAGGTTCCTTAGAATTTTTACCATCTCATCACCAATTTTAGTCAATTTTTACATAGCAAAAACGTTATTTTTATCTAATAATAAGTTACACAATTCTCCTAAAAACAGACCAGTAACAAGTTATATATTTAATAACTTCAAAGATCCCAAAAGTCACCACCCATTTGTCATCCACAAAAACAAAACAAAACAACATGTCAATTTCTCCCAAACTTTCAATAAAAATTTAATAAAACCCAAAAACGCAAACTAAGAAATTCCAAAAAAATATTCACGACCAACATGGACAGCAATTAATTTTTCCAATTTTTAAGATGCTTTTAAAAACTTTTTAAAGGATGTCAATGTGACAGATGAAGAGAAGACTCAAAATCCACGAAGTAAGATAAGTAAATTTTTATCTCTATAATAAAAATTGTAATCCATTATTATTTTAGGCCAAGTTTTTTACTTCGGCGCAAAATGTTGGTGAAGAAGTTATTAGGTGATATCCGTTTGTTAAGGGATTTCTGTTACATAAGACATCATCATGAATTAAGAGGAGATGTTATCAGTCCATCAATAGTCACAGGAATTGATCATGTCAGAGATCCAAGATTAAACAAAGGCTTAGCATTTACTTTTGAAGAACGACAGGTGATGAATTTAAATGTTGACCAAAACAAAAACTAAAGATGATAAAAGCATAATTTTTTGATCAAAACTTTTGGTTTACACCTAAAAATCATTTTCTATCATTATTTTTAATTTTTAGGCTTTAGGTATCCACGGATTGCAACCGGCAAGATTTACCACTCTCAGGAGGAACAAATGGAAGTTTGTAAAATTTGTATAGAACGTTACACGGAGGATATAAACAAGTATTTGTACCTGATTGAATTGCGAGTAAATCACCCCAAAATTATTTGCATTAGTTAAAATTTGTAATTAATTAGTTTTTTTTGCAAATAGGATACCAATGAAAGATTGTTTTATCGTTTTGTGAACCAATATATTGAGGAAATGTTGCCTATTATGTATACACCTACTGTTGGACAAGCTTGCCAGATGTTTGGCTTAATTTACAGGTAAATAGGAAAATAAAATATAAAAAAAAAGGGTGCCAGATTGAAGTGAAACTTATTTGCTACTGTACAAGATGGCATTTAAGTAAAAATGAATACATCATATAACAATTTTCAATAATGTTTATTAGTGATATGGTAACACTCGTGATGCACGCATTTATTAGTGTCGACCATTATACACATTTTTATAACGATAAATTATATATTTAAAATAGCATTAAAAATATTTATAATATTTAAAAACAATGATGTGATCAAAGTCATACTTCAAATATGACATGATCGGTTTGTCATTGTAATTAGCATTTAGGACTTGAATTTTTATTAGAGAAATGAAGTAATTGCTGATTAATAAATTCTATAATTTAATAAACAAATATTGTTTTTGCAATTTCACTCATCATGTAATAATTGTGTTTGAAGAACTTCATGTAATTAAAATTAACATACATTCATTGACTGCTTGTATTTTTTTTACTTTTTTCCAGACGATATTCAATTTGCGCGTCAGTAGAGTCCTTTTTTTTAAATCTTATATATAAGATTGTCAGATATCTCCCTTCCGCCTTTTTGTATTATAAACCAAGAGCAAAAAAGCGGAAGGGAGATATTTGACAACCTAATATAAAAATTAAGTTTAATTTACTCCTCAGTAGAGTCCTTTTTTTATAACCTTGCTCGTCAGTAGAATCCGCTTTTCAAGTCATTAAATATTAATAATTTTACTCGACAGTAGAGTCTCTTTTTCTAATTAATAATTTTGTTCGTTAGTAGAGTCCCTTTTTTATCTTTCTTGATCAATTTTTTACATTTCTATCAAGTTATTTGATCACTTGTCAGTAGAGTCCCTTTTTATTTATTATTCATTTGTCAGTAGAGCCCCTTTTTGTCTTTTTTGTCAATTTTTAGTTTGCTCGACGGTAGAGTCTTTTTTTATATTTACGAATTTCAAATTTGATCGCCAGTAAAGTCCAATTTCAAATATTATAAATTAAAATTGAGTTTGCTCGTCAGTAGAGTTCTTTTTAGAGACATTTTTTATTCATATTTTGCTCGTCAGTAGAGTCTTTTTCACAAAACATTTTTCATTAATATTTTTGCTTATCAGTACAGTCCCTTTTAGTATCTAAATTAAATTTGCTTACCAGTAGAGTCCTTTTTCTTCTTCTAAGTTTAAATTAAACTTTGCTTTTTTAGTTTGCCTGTTAGTACAGTCTTTTTTATATTAGCTAGTTTCAAATTTCATCGTCAGTAGAGTCCTTTTTGTATTTTCTTATCGATCAAAACTTTGTTGGCTTGTCAGTAGAATCCCTTTCTAACTGTAAGATAAAATTTATGATCATATTTTAACTATTCGATTTAAATTAAATCTTTTTGATTCCTCGTCAGTAGAGTCCTTTTTTATATGTTTCCTTTCTATATTTTTTATATCTATACCAGTTAGTGGAGATCCTTTTCAGGTTTTATATTTACTAATTTTAAATTTAGTCATCAGTAGAGTCCCTTTTTATCAACTAGATTGTAATTAAAGTTTGCTTGTCAGTAGAGTAGAGGATTAAAATTATGTTTGTTCGTCAGTAGAGTCCTTTTATTTTTTCTGGCGCTTGATAATTCTTTGAACAGCTTTAGAATCTGTTTTGTCTATAAAAATATTATCTATTTTAATATAGAAATAATTTCTAATCAATAAACTGCACGCATACAACGACAGATCTCTATTCACATAAACGACGACTAATCACAATCGACACGTAAAGAAATGATATCATCGAGAGCGAACAATGAATCATTGGCACTCGACTCTTATTTTATCTTATTTGCCGTAACGCATTTGTACGGATTTACACCCTAGTCGCGCCTAAAGAAGTTTTACTTCAAAAATCCTAAATTATTTTTTATGGTTTTTGCAGAAGACCTCGTGGAATATTTGTGACAATAAGTGACAAGGGTCATGTTTATGATGTTCTCAAAAATTGGCCAGAATTTGATGTCAGAGCTGTTTGTATGACTGATGGTGAAAGGATTTTAGGTAAAAATATGTATGATATTTAAAAACAATAATGTAATTAAAGTCATACTTCAGATATTACATGATCGGTTTGTCATTGTAATTAGTGTAAATAAATCTTTGTTAGAGAAATGAAGTAATTGCTGATTAATAAATTCTATACACAGTGGATTATGTTAAACAACGCCTAAACAAATATTGTTTGCGCAGCTTCACTCATCATGTAATAATTGTGTTTGAAGAACTTCATGTAATTAAAATTAACATACATTCATTGACCAAACATCATTGACAAAATTATCAATGAATCTAAGTTTTGTCCTTGCCAATGCGCTTTACCTTCACAAAAATAATAGTACACCTAAGTCTGTTTTTACACGGTCTTTTTGCACACAGTTTTGATATAACACGGTTTGAAAATTGAATATTTTTAATTTTTTTACACGATTTTATTCCATTTAGCACGATTTGAAATTTTATGT